CTTCTCCTTCTCCTTCTCCTTCTCCTTCTCCTTCTCCTTCTCCTTCTCCTTCTCCGTCTCCCTCTCCTTCTCCTCTTCTTCTTTTCTTCCTCATTTTCCTTCTTCGTTTTTTTGACACAAGGTTTCTCTTTCTAACAGCCTTGGTTGTCCTGGAGCTTGCTTTGCAGACCAGGCTGACCTCCAACTCACAGACATCTACCTCCCCCAACCTCTCAAGTGCTGGGATTAAAGGCATGCACCACCATTCCTGGCTACAGCCCACTTTTTAATACGGTTGTTTTCTGGTTGTTTGGGGTTTGCTGTTGTTGTTGTTGATTGTTTGTTTTTAGTTCTTGAAATATATCTGTGCTTTAATCCTCTGGCACTTGTACAACTGGCCTTTTGTTTCCAGTTCTGTAAGCTGCCTTTTCTGTTTATTAACTGTTTCCTTGACAGCAAAAGACCTTTTAAATATTATGAACCCCGACCTGTTGATTATTGGCATTATTCCCTAGGTGACCACAGTCCTGGTCAAAAAGTCCTTACCTGGGCCTGTATCCTGAAGCGCATTCCCCATCCTTTCTTGTAGGGGTTTCAGGTCAAAGGTCTTTGATCCATTTGGTTTATGTCCAGGGTGGGAAGGATCGAGTTTCATTCTTCTACATGTGGATACCCAGTTTCCTCAGCAACATTTATTAAGACTCATTTTCAATTTTGTGACTGTTTGGCATCTTTGTCAAAACTCAGGTGGATGGAGGTATGTGGACTTATGTCTGGCTCCTTGAGGAATCTTTACTTTTAGCAAATCTCCCACGTGATACATACAAAACCATTTGAAAATTGGTTGTCCAGATATTTTTATTCTTAAGTATTTATTTGCCAAGGAATCGTCTTCCAAAAGAAGATTTGGCCTACAAACCAACACTTATAGCAGATAAGAATAAGATTTTTTCACAGGGGGGGGGGGCCCATGAGGCCCTAACCCTGGCTGAGGAACTGCTGGCAGCTGGTGGCTGGTGAGGGAGGAAGAGGATATTTTCTTCACAATGGGCCACGGGGAGCTGTCATTGTTCCAGGGGATGGCCCTGAATCCATGCACATAAGGAACTATATCTTGTCCCCTGCCCCTTCTCTATCTATCTGCTTCCAACTCACATGAAGCAAACAGCTGTACTCTACCACACTCTTTGCTATGGTGTTCTGTAGTTGAGAGTCTGCTAAGAATAGACTAAAACCTCATAGCAAAATAAGGATTTCCTATTAGGGTGTTTTCCTTGAGTATTCTGCCACTACAACAAAAAGCCCACTAACACAGCAATGTTCTAGACATAGTTAAACATATTCTGTCCTTTAATGAAATGCTTTACTCCCCCATGAATCTGTTATACAGGAACAAGCTGAAGTTTGGGGAGTGATTTATGCATGACTCAAGAATTAGTCAGTAGTAAAAATTGCCCAACATTGTAAATGTGCTTGGTGCTACTGAATTATACACTTTTAAACAGAATGACAAACTTGATATTGTATATTTTTATTGAGTTGAAAAAAGATTTTTTTCTCAAAAATGTTCATGTCATCATTATTTATGGTAGTGGGAAGTTTAAAACACCAAAGCTCAACACAAGAGTCACTGCCACTGTACAGTGCCTGGGGATGCTCTGACATGCACAGAAGGGAAGAACAAAAAGAAGAGATAAGACTGTGGGGTTGGGGGCTGGAGAGATGGCTCAGCGGTTAAGAGCACTGACTGCTCTTCCAGAGGTCCTGAGTTCAATTCCCAGCAACCACATGGTGGTTCATAACCATCTATAATGAGATCTGGTGTCCTCTTCTGACATGTAAACATACATGGAAGGAATGTTGTATACATAATAAATAAATAAATCTTTTTTTAAAAAAAGGACTGTGGGGTTGTCTCCTCATGTCTGTAGAGCTGAGGCTCCAACCAACTTGGAAATACAGTTCTGGCCAGGCAGCAGGCCTGTGATCCCAGCACTCGGGTGGCAGAGGGAGGCAGATCTCTGAGTTCGAGGCCAGCCTGGTCTACAGAGTGAATTCTAGGACAGCCAGGGCTACACAGAGAAACCCTGTCTTTAAGCACACACACATGTACACACAGGAGAAAGAAAGGAAAATGTCGTAACTGCTCTGACTGTATCCCACTAGCAGGCATGAACAAAGTGTTTCTGGCCTAATCCCCCAAGCACTACAGAGTTTGGGACTGTGTGCAGTCCTCAGAATGTCCTGAGTCACTATCCTCTGAAGAAAGCATCAACACCACTCATGGTTATACTTAAAAGAGGTGCAGAGATACTGTGTACCCTGCCCCCAAACAAGATAGGTGAAGACAGAACCCATTGTCAATATATGGACTCTGGAGTTCATGGTCTCAGCTGACCTGCTTCCGCACCGCTGCAAAAGTACACATATTTGAAAAGAAGAGAACGGGAAGAAGGATGTTAGCTTTACTAATAAAGACGGCACTGATGTTCTAATAACCTAGCACAGCGGGTTTAAAACAACAGGAATGTAGCCAGGGGTCCTGGAGCACCTGCGCTCTCAGCACTCTGGAAGCAGAATCAGGAGGATGATTATGACCCAAAGCCAGCTTGAGCTATGCCGGTCTGGTCTATATAAATGAGACTATGTTTTCAAACACAACAAGCAAAAGACCCACTGCACTGTGTGGTATCTTTCAATTCCAGTTCTCAGAAAACTGAAATTACCTACAGAGCTGTATTCCTTCCTCTTGGAGATTCTAGAAAAAAACCTTTCCTGTGTCTTTTCAAGCTGCCCAGCATATTTGTTAACTTATATTCTCTTCTTTCGTCTTCCACCCATGTGCTGTCTTCTCTCCTTAGCCCCCCTGCTTCGACCCTCCTTTATTCTATTTTCTGACCTTCCTGTCTCTATGTGTAAGAATTTTGTGAACTTGTTTAGCCAACCTAATAATTTGGAATAATCTGACTGCATCTCCAGAACCCACCCACCACCGTGTAGAAGCATTAGGGCATGAACATCTTCGGGAGCCGTAACTTGGTTGACCACAAGTAGGATATAAAACTTCAGCAAATAGTGAATAATGAAACCCATCTAAACTGGAAATGTGGTGAGCGGGTCGGGAAGTTTTTAGCGACTGCCAAACATCCAGAGAATATACTAATGTTCGCTGAATAATTACTTTTAAATCCTCCTGGCTTAAAACCTTGTAAATCCTTCTTAACATGTATTTTCTTAAAGGTTTTTTAAAATGACTTTTCAGTACCCTAGTCTCTAGAAACAACCACTAAGATAAATAACACAAAAATTCAATAGTTCATGAGTTCATTTCTTTCATGTTGCTATACCTTAGTTCTTAAGCATGTGCTAAAAATCCATGTGGTAAAGTCTTGATCCCTTCAGGTGGTATGTTGGAAACTGGTGGGAACTTCAGAAGCCTAGTATGAATAGTATGAATTCTTTTTTTTTAAAAAAAATATTTATTTACTAATTCTTCCTTCATATCCTGACCGAAGTTTTACACCCCTCTTCTCCTCCTTGCCTTCCTCCACTTCTGCTCTTTCATAGATCCACCCCCTCCTTGGTTTCCCTTTTAAAAAAAAAAAAAGCAGGCTTCCCAGAGATATTCAGTAAGCATGGCATGACAAGTTCCAGTAAGACAAGGCACACACCCTCATACCAAGGCCGGATGAGGCAATTCTGTGGGAGGAAAGGGTCCCAAGAGCCAGTAAAACATCAGAGATAGCCCCACTGTCACTGTTAGGGGTGCCACAAAAACACCAAGCTATACAACCATAACATATGTGTAGAGGATCTCGGTCAGATGCACACAGGCTCCCTGATTGTGCTGATCCAGTTAGTTAACCAGCCCCAGTTAGTTGATTCTGTGGACCATGTTTTTGTGGTACCCTTGACCTCTCTAGATCCACAATCTTTCCGTCCCCTCTTTCCCGGAATTTCCGAAGCTCCACTTAATGTTGGGCGGTGGGTGTGTGCATCTGTTTCCAGCAGTTCTGGATGAAGCCTCTCCGATGATGATTGTGCTGGGCTCTGGTCTGCAAGCATAGCAGAATATCAATAGGAATCATGTCATTGACTTTTTCCCCAGTTGTGCTTGGCTCTGTCCTAGGTCACTGGACTGTCCAGCTTCTAGTTCCTGACTCTTTGGGCAATGTCAGTCATGGGCCTCAAGCTGGACCAGTCATTGGCTGGTCATTCCCACAAGTTCAACACCACCTTTGCCCCAGCACATACTGCAGGCAGGACAAATGAAAGGTTTGTGACTGGGTTATGTGCCAGTCCTAATGGGAGTTCTTTAGGTTACTAGAGTAAAGCTGTCAAAGCAGTGTGGGACTCTGTACCCCAAGGTTACTGGTTTGCTCTGCCTCATGTTTCTGCCATATTGTGCTTCTTCTCAACAGACACAGGATCAGCATCCTCTCCACAGACTCATGAGCACCAGGACCAACAACCACAAACTGGAACCAGTGAGTCCATAAGCCAAAATAAATGCTCTTTTCATTATAATTGATTGCATCGGATGTTTGCTACAGTAACAGAGAGTTGACACCTATACGGAACACTTATCCTGGCTTCAATATGAAACATATTAAGGTATGCCAGGAAAGTCCAATCACCGTCTCCACCTCTTGTTGAGAAACAACGCGACTAAGTTAGAGCAACTGTCTCAGTATCAGCAGATCTAAAAATAGAGCCTATGGTTGCTGTCTTTGTCTTAGTAGAATTCATAGACTGTCTCAATTTAGTTTTCTTTTCCAGTGTCTTCTTTATCTCAATAACAACATATGCAGGATGTTTATAAATATGTGTCTTTTCTTTCTCAGTTCATGCAGTCTTTTGATTTATCAGAAGAATCACCATCATATAGCATGCTGGCATATTTATGAATATATTCTCTAACATTGAATTTCAGGAAACACACATAAGAATTTAATAAATCTTACTCCTATTCATATCATCTTTGGAGTCTATGCTTGATAACAGTAGTACAGAAATAGACTAGATACATTACATATACGTAGACAAATTCATTGAATCAATAAATATTTGCTCCTACTTTTAAGAGTAAACAGCTGTGGGAGACATAGACTTGTCAGCGCACTAGAGCAGGCTCACACTAGTTTCCAAGAAGCAAGTGTATGTAACATTTTTCTGATTCTACTTTAGGAATGTGCACCAGTAGCTTAAATCCAGTCATGGTGAAAGAATTTACACCAGTCAGGCAGTGGTGGCACATGCCTTTAGTCCCAACACTTGGGAGGCAGAGGCAAATGGATCTCAGTGAGTCTGAGGCCAGTCTACAGAGCAAGGTTCAGGACAGCCAGGACTGTTATACAGACAAACCCTGTCTCAGAAAAAAATGAATTTACATCATAGAAATTAGCAAGCTCAGCAAATCTGAGATTTCATTAAACTTTTATATCACCGCCACATATCAGTGTAGCTGGTAATGTGCTTAATACCAATGGTGCATACAAAAGATGATAAAAGCACAGAGAGAAGGTTGAACCTCATGAGCATCAGTAAGGGTTCCTTTGGGGACAAAACTCAGGTGTCAACTGTAGGTGGAGTTTCTCTGTGTCTTCTCAGCCACTCCCAACCATTCAGAGATTTATCATTAATTATAAATACTCAGCCTATAGCTCTACCTTATTACTAATTAGCTCTTGCAACTTAAATTAATGCATTTCTCTTCATCTGTGTGCTGCCCCGAAGTTTTTGGCTTTTGCCTCTCCTGCATTCCCTGCTTCCTTTCCGTCAGGGTGGTGACTCCTCCTACTCCACCATTGTTCTTACCAGCATTCTCTCCGCCCCAAAATTCCTGCCTAGGCATTGGCCAATCAGCTTTTTATTAACAATGAGAACAGTACATATTCACAGTGTACAAAGATTGTTCCACAGCAAACAATGGCTCTGAGAGACTCTCCACAGTGTCCTGAAGAAACCCTGATTTAGAAAGTCTGCTTCACTGAATAACTATCTTTTTCTTTTTCATTTCTACTCACTTATATGTTCCTCCTTACTGGAATGCAAACTTTTTGATGACAAACTTTTTGATGACAAACTTTTTGATGAGTTGTAAGAGGCCGCATATTTGTTCCCAGCTGCCCAGAACTAAAATAATTATATAGAAACTGCATTAATTAAATGCTATTAGCTCTAGCTTCTTATTGGCTGGCTCTTACATTTTAATTTAACCCATTTCTATTAATCTGTGTATCCCCATGTGGCTGCAGTTTACCAGTAAGGTTCCAATCATCTTTTCCCAGTGGCTACATGGTGTCCCCTGACTCCACCTACTCTCTCTCTCTCGCTGTATCTCTTCCAGCCTGGCTATGTTCTGTTAAGTCATTGGCCAAGAGAAGTTTCTTTATTCATTAACCAATAGAAGCAACACATATACAGAATGGTTTCCCACATCATCTTCCCCTTCCTGTCTAAAAAAAAAGAAGGTTTTAACTTTAACATAGTAAAATTACATATAACAAAACAGGTATCAAGCAAGGAGTATAGTTACAATATTTATATCTACTTTATCTTTCATAGTAACTAAGGAAAACTACAATTATAACTATCTATTCTTCAACTCCATCAAAGGCGCTAGAAAGATATAATATTTATCTATATTAACTTCCTAAGTTAACAGGAAGTGCATTGGAAGCAACTTACAAAACTCTAGAATTGACAGAGACATCTCACTACCTGGACAGTCTCCCAAAGTTCTTCTGTAACATTGGAGTATCCATCTTCAGCCTACAGGCCCATAGTATCCAGCAGACTTTCCTATGAAGCAGAAAATTTCAAAATCAGTTCTGCCAATATTGGTAGTTTGTCAGTCACTTTCTTCTGTGTTCTGCAGAATGTCTAGCAGACTCTTTCAGGAAGCAGGAACCCAGAAGGATAATCTCACCTTTAGGTAAGTTCAACAGTCATTTTTCCATGGGTCCTGTATGTCCAATTCATACAGCATAACATCAAGCAGTCCAAGCAAGAGCAGTTTTTGCCCAAATAGCTAGCAAACTCCATAAGGAGCCTCTTCAATGTCCATCATCCTCTTGAAGTAAATTGGTGCTGCCAGGAGCAGATGTGTCTCATATCATGAAAAGTCTTAAGTTTTTAAAACGTTTTAAATGCTATATTCTGGAGGTCTCTGAAAGATTTGAAGAATATCTATCTAACTAAAATATATCTCTATATATCTAGAAAACCTAACTAACATGACTAGAAATTTGACTATTATAGATGACTCTCTATTAACCTATATTTCTCAATTATACATTACATTTTAAATAAGCTGCGCACATAATACCTTAATCAAGAGCAGAAATATACATATAACAAAATTGACCTTAAATTTGTATCAATAGACAAAGATCCATACCAACGCAAAGTATTCATCTCTATATCATATTCCCCTTTAAATGTAAACAAACATTTATAAACAATCATTTAGGGAATTTGGGTGTAGTTTCTCCAAACTGATTGCTGCTTTTTGTTGGATGAATTAATTTTGGAGGGTGTTCATGGCAACTTTTCAGGGGGGAGGTCTTGGTCCATCAAAGCACATTAGTCTGAAAGAAATCCATAGGTTCTCATCTTCTGTGGAAACAAAAACAGAGCCTCTTTTCCAAAGCAACATATCCTTAGACCCATATTTTTAAATCAAGACACTTTTGAGATATATATGATGATTTGGCTTAGCAGTCTGTACAATGAAATGCCTCTCTGTACAGCGCCCCTTCACAGTCAGAAAGTTCAAAGAAAACAGAATAGTATACATAATCTAGTCCCTCTGTGTATTTTCCACTTTGCGAGGTTTATTTTTCTTTATTTCTTTAATCTATGACTGTCTGTACTTAGTCTCTTTAAAGACTTCATTTTATTATTTTAAATGATTTACTTCTTTTTATAACCCTCTTTACTTTTTCTTCTCTCTCCCAAGCCTACGTACATTTATCCAACATTGTGACCTATTTAGAGGTCTTTTTTTTTTATCTGAATCTGTCTTTATTGTGTATCTGTAACTATTTTCTGACCAGAAGCACTCTTTTTTATGCTAAGTGGGTTTAGCTAAGGCCAACACAGCCCTGCCTGCTTGCTCTGCCCAGTCCAGCATGGCGGAGGCATGTTTGCTGTCTTTGGGAACATGTACATTGCCCCATTTTTAGGCACTCAGCAGGTCTATGCTGCCATCAAGCAAGTTGTAGCACTCTGCTCACAAACCCCATTTAAATGGTCTGTAGCTGTGATGTAGAATTTTGAATTTCTGTTGCTTTCATTGGTTAATTAATAAAGAAAATGCTTGGCCTGATAGGTCAGAACATAGGTGGGTGGAGTAGACAGAACAGAATGCTGGGAAGAAGGCAATGAGGCAGACGCTATAGCTCTCCTCTCCAAGATGGATGCAGGTTAAGATCCTTCCCAGTAAGCCACCACCTCGTGGTGCTACACACATTAATATGTGGTCTCTTGACATGACTGCATGTTTCAGATGTTCTGTGAAGTGTCATAAGGAGTTTTCTCTTACATGAGAAAGCAGAGGATCCCATTCCCGAAGAGGTAGTCTAATCTGGTGAGACACACTGAGTCGTTGCTCTTCAGAGAATACACAGTGCTTCCCCATTCCCAGCTTGCTGCAGTCTATGCATGAGGAGACCAGCTCTCTAGGGGGATGAAGAGAGGATTCCCTGGGCCCAGATGATGGAGTGACTAATTCCCCTGGGTGGAACTGAAGAAGGTTCCAGGGGAAGGTTATGCTTGGGTTGGCCTTGGGAGATGAGTAGGACTTCAGCAGGCAAAGGGCAGAGAAAGGACCACATGAGATAGGAAGACCCCCAAGCTACAGAGGCCTGAAATTGCGGTGTATCTATATCTAAGGGACCAGGGAGTAGCCACACACAGAACAACTTTTGCAATTCTGAACAATCAACATTCTTTTGCCAAATAACATCCTAATTTTACTTTGGTTTTGACAGTGACAATGTGATTCATTAGTTCCTATTACACACTACAATTTCAAAACAATCAAACACCAAGAGCTCTTTCTTGATTAGGAAAGGTCACACAAAGGGGAACTAAATCAAAGTGGCTTTTTTCTACTCAGCAAATCGGCAGCCATAAGAGGTGGGTGTGGACCCTGCTCACACAACTCCCAATCAGTTTTGAGTGTACAAGATGAGTAAGAAAAAGAGTTCTGCTTTTTATTACCTGGGTGTTCACGTGTGCTTCATAATTCAGCATGGAGATTTAGAAAGACCCCAAATCAAGCTACGCTTGCCCAGGTAAAATTATATACATTGGACAAAAGCATAATCCAGGTAAAAACAGTTGGAGACAATTCAAAACAGTACTAACTGATTTCCAAAGCAGGTAAGGTCTGAGGTAATCATTTGGGATTTTTATTCCCCTTTTAGGATCATTTATTTTTATGTATGTGAGGGTTTTGCCTACATCCATATTATACTCCATATGTACTATGTGTGAGACTAGTGATCACAGAGGTCAGAAGAGGGTGACAGATCTCCTGGAAGTGGAGTTACAGATGATAGTGAGCCACCATGTGGGCACTTAGAACTGAACCCAGGTACTCTGGAAAAGCCGTCAACACTCCTACCCTCAGAACCATCACTTCAGCACACTGATACTGTTATTTTAACTTTCACTTTGCCATGGATTTCACCGAAACAGTAAGTTTTCAAGTGGAACTGAATTTACCATAATTGATGTCTGTACACAAATGCATTTCATATATATAAAGCAAAGTACCTGAAGGTGACCAACAATGGAGACAGACTCTGGTTGACTGGAGTTGAAAAGGAAACTCTTATAAGGATATTTGACAGACCAGACCAGCATACTTCGCAAGTTCCAGGACAGTGAGAGACCCTGTCCAAGGAGAGGTCCCCAGATTGTTCCTTGGGCAGCAGAGGAGAGGGTGCCTGAACTGGCCTTGTCCCATAGCCACACTGATGAATATCTTGCATATCACCATAGAACCTTCATCTGGCGATGGATGGAGATAGAGACTGAGACCCACACTGGAGCACTGGACTTAGCTCTTAAGGTCCAAATGAGGAGCAGAAGTCAGGACCATGAGGGGTGCGTCCACCCATTGAGACAGTGGGACTGATCTAATGGGAGCTCACCAAGGCCAGCTGGACTGGGAGTGATGGAGCATGTGATCAAACTGGACGTTCTGAAAGTGGTTGGCAATGAAGGCTTACTGAGAAGCCAAGGACAATGGCACTGGGTTTTGATTCTACTGCATGGACTGACTTTGTGGGAGCCTGGTTTGTTTGGATGCTCACCTTTATAGACCTGGATGCAGTGGGGAGGACCTTGGACTTCCCACAGGGCAGGGAACTCTGACTGCTCTTAGGACTAGAGAGGGAGGGGGAGATCGGAAGGGGGGGGAAGAGGGAGGCGGGGAGGAGGTGGAAATTTTTAATAAATAAATTAATTAATTAAAAAAAAGATTTGGACATACCTGAAGAATAAGACATGTGGTTGTACTGTTCTGCATGCACGCACACACAAACAATAAAGTAAAAAAGACAAAGAAAGAGAGAAAAGAAAGACCAAAAACAAGGTTCAAAAATCTCTTCCCTCCCCCAATAAGCACATAACAAGAAAAGAGGTCAGTTCCAGCTCCAGGTATCCTGGTAGAAGGGTCTCTCTGGATCTCCATCTATCCATCCATCCATCCATCTCTCTCTGTCTCTCTCATATACACATATATATGCATATGTATACATGCATACAGACACACACACACATGCATATTCTATCTCTTTCTCTCTTTTCGCTCAGCTTGAACATTCAGTCCCAAAGCAGAAGGACCATTATGTGACCACTCCCTCAAGAAAATTAGTTGTCTTACATTACAATCCCATAAACTGGGTGATGGTGCCACATGCCTTTCATCTCAGCACTTGGAAGGCAGAGGCAGGCAGATCTCTGTGAGTTCAATGCCAGCTTGGTCTACAGAGTGAGTTCAAAAACAACCAGGGCAGCACAGTAGAACCTTGTCTTGAAAAATAATTACAGTACCATAGGACTACAGATTCTTGAAGAGTAATTTCACAAAAGAGTTGGACCCTGTGTGGCCGATGGCAAGGAATGTCCATCCATTCTAACCACTGAGGACATGGTACATGTCATTGGCCTTGACTTACTGTATCACTTTGGTGCTAGACTCAGAATTCTGTCTCAGTCTTTCTTTACCATGTCCTGGCTGTTTTAGTTCTAGAAGACTCAAGAACAACATGAAGCAAAGCATGTTTGTTAGTTGGTGTTTCTGTGTGACGCATTTAACATAGTAAACAATTTATCTACCGTGAAAGACAAAACAATATGCATAGAATCTGACTACAAAACATAAATAAGTAAGCAGAAATTTATTATAACTGTTTCCTTTCTGTCAAGTCATATTATGCTAGTTATATAATTTAAATATGTATATAGAATACAGAATTTTTCTTTTAATTGTTTATTACTTAATAATTTTAAATTATGTGTCTTTGTGTGTGTACATTAGTGCTGGCACCTGCAGATGCTAGAAGCTACAAATCCTCTTGTTACTGGATATACAGGAAGTGAGCAGTCCGGTGTGGGTGCTCAGAACCAAGTCTGAGTCCTCTGCCAGAGCAAAACACATTTCTAACTGCTGAGCCAACTCTCCAGCCCAGTAGAATATTTCTTAAACAATGCTTTTGTAAGTTTGAGGAATGGGGTTGCTGTGGGATAGATGATGCTCTTGTACACTGTAAAGTTTTGTTATTCATATTAGTTTTTTAAAATGTTGATTTACAAGTAGCCAGGCAGGAAGTATAGGTGGCGTGACCAGACTAAGAGAACTCTGGGGAGAGGAAAGGCAGAGAATCAGTCACCAGCTAGAAGCAGAGGAAGCAAGACGAG